GTTGGAAAGGGACAAGCAGATTGCAATCCTAGCTGAAATCCTGTCCAGTTATTCAAGCACCTGGTTCCTAACACTGCTCACATAGCAAACTCTAACAGAATGAGCCCACCTGATTCCATGCAAAGCAGTGAATCTGCCATGACAAGGTCTGCTCTGAGAAGCACATTTTAATAAGTGCTTTCCCTAATCCTTGGTGGCAGCAAACAGATTTTCCAAGTCAAGAAAACCCAAATGTCCATTACTATCATTTAGCCTTTCCGACAACATGTGTAAAACTAAGTATTTGAGACTTTCAAAATGGCCGAGTAGCAAACCATTTAATTGAACCCAATTTCTTGCAACACACTAATATCAGAATTCTAAATGGCATCAAAAGTAGAAGATACAGTATGTGTTAAATTCTGCCAATGAGCTGTTTCTTCTTTAGAAAAGAAGAGACTGCTTTACAACAGATTTCGTCCACTTCCATGAAATCAAGATCACTTTGGTAGCATTTCAGGCAATGCTGACTACACAAGATAACCGGTCAAGTGTGAGTTAATTATGATTTTGATGACTGATAGTTATCTCTGATTGCATCACAAAGAATCAGACTCCACCATCCATTAGCAATGCGCCTCAGACAGAGCAGTTGAAGCTTACCTTTGGCCCTTAGTCATCTATCTGTATGTTTAATTGCCGCAGACTGGAAGCTGATGTAGGCAAACATGGCAAGAAGTTCTTGAGAATTTCAAATCCCCAAAATGGCCAAGTAAGACTCAACCCTGCAACTTCCTAATTTATCTTCTACAATAAGATGGACATCTTGAATGACCAAGGAGTATTGCTCCCCAGATAATGACATGTACCATGGTGGAAGCATGTACGTTCATTTGTATCACCCATCTCCCCTTCCTGAGGTGTCTTCCCCACCGCCCGCCTTAGTTAGTGTCAAGAAAACTTAATCTGCTTTTCAGGCCCCAGCTTAGAGATTTTGGTCTTCACTTTGTGAGAAGATTTTGACTACTTACTCTCAAAGTAACATCCACACCTCCTTGGTACACACAGGATGCATGTATGATATGATGTAGCCTAGGCATGCCTGAACATTTGCCAGGGGCCAGAACAGAGGAAACGTTCATTGTTACCCTAGCAACAAATAGCATAGCCGGAACATGGTGGAACATGGTCAGATGATACAAGGTGTGAAATACCTCCGACATGTCTGAAACATCAAACATCACGACTGTGCTGTTCAAGTGTTAGGCCCTACTTAGGCTTATTAGACTGGTACCTACCGGTATTACTGGCCTAGGCCTACTACTAGTACTAGATACCGAGTATATACCCAGCTACATGTGAAATGTAACACTGCAACTTGTACACACTCAGTCTCTAGTCTAGTTTTATCATTTCCCTAGTCATGTCAGCTGTAGGTCGAATACCAAAGCGCAGACAGCCACATCACTGTATCATAAATACAGAACAATCTCTCATGCTAACAGATACACAACCTCCAACACGTCGTGCGAACGTCTATGATAAAAAAACATACGAAAACATCATCAAATACCAGCCATGCATCCAGCCCCAGCAATGACAGAAGTGGTGTCCATCGATTTTTTTTTTTTTGTTGCGATTTTTCTGTTGTCAAGTTCACCTTGATTCGACAAAATCTGGACCGGCTACTTTATGCCAACACTCTTACTCTTTACCTGTCAAAATTGGCAGAAATCGGTCACAGGAGTCAGGCGTGATTATATAATTTATGACCCCTGATGGTTCAAGCATCGAGGATTTCCTGCATTTTGTTATGCGAGAACAGCAAACATTCACAGTCTATGTATGCATGATCGATCGATTGCGCGCAAAGCATGCATGCCCCGGCCACGAAAAATTTAGGGACCATCTTCAAAACGGCATTGAACCGTGTAGGATATTTCAAGAAAGCATGACCTGCTGGGACAGTAATTATTCACAAAGAGACAAAGATTATAATTAAAAGACTACAGTAAATCCTGGTTCTGATTTTGTAATAAAGTCAACATGTAGATGTTAATAAACATTTTCACAGATTACATACTTTCGAATTTATTAGAGTATCACTCGTTTTCCTACATCTGTTTTAATCGTAACACATGATGGCGCTATAGTACTTTTACGGTAACAAGTTTTGGGGATCTCGGCACAGAATAATTGACAGTAAAAAGTCTTGCTGTGTACAGCCGATATACGAAACTGATATACGTAGGACGCAATTAATATAGAATGAATTTGAAAACATAGAACCAAACTTGTTGAAATATATTACCAATATGAATTAAAATAAAACCAAATTTTATGAATATGGAACGAAAGTTATAAATATAGAACGAATATAAAACTGTAAAAACGGATCTGAAAATATATAACCAAACTTGTAGAAATATATGACCTTAATTAAACAAATAAAAATAAAACCAAAACTAATCAATTTAAGACGAAAACTGTAAATATAGAACAAAAATAAAAC